CTGTGAAGCCCCAGGGGCAGCCACATGCCTGCAAGTCACGTCTGACACTCTCAAACTTACCTCTTCACCAGCACACAACACCATTACCTTTCTCTGCTAACTCATCCATCTTTCCCTTGGCATGATGCTGTGATGTTGTCCAAAAAACTTAGTCCCACTGTGGCATCATTCTCACCCTCCATCCCTCAGTATTTCCTAAACTCTGTACATCCTGTTAATCTTGTGTGCAATGCATAAATGTCTCAGCAGCGCCATGTCCTTACTGCCTGTACCATTGGGTATACATACATGTTTGGAATTATCTGTGGTGTCTGCTCTTCATTGACCATCGCTGCCAGAAAGGCTGATGTGAAATAGCTCAGCCTGTGTCTACACTGAAAGTTAAGTGCTAGCCCAAGACTTACCTAGCATCTGCCTCAACCTCAGCTTTGGAGTTCACTGACAATGGAGACCCTACACTTGCTCTGCATCTGAACCAAAGCCAGACCTTTCTTTATACCCTCTAGATATACTGGGCCTAGGAAGGTCTCAGATTGCTGCAGATTAGCCCACTGGGAGATATTTCAAACACAACTAATTTTGACCCTCTCTGGACAAACAGCCAGCAGTATGGACAGAAAATGCTTGGTCTGGGCACTCAAGTTTGCTACTTGAGCTGGCTACATTCCATGGTGTAGGTGTAAGCACATGTCCTTGGCTTGTGCTGGGAATGAGTCCTGCCAGCCTTTCCATTCCCAAGGGCCAGATCACCATGTATAGTCAGTACTTGGGAGGAGATGAGTTAACCTGTTGTGAGACACAGGCCCATGGACTCACTGTGGCCAGTACTCTCCTTCATATGAGCTTGGGTCATGTCGAGAAAGATGCTTATCTTGTGTGTTTTATCAGCCATCAGTGTTTAACATCTGTCATTCCCCTGTATGTGCATTGTCAGTCTGTCTTAGTAAGAAAGACCAGTAGTCTGTGCTTTTGCAAGGAAAGATCTCATGCCTTTCAAGTGGATGGGCAGGAGTGAGATATGGCTGTACCTGATTGAGCTGTGCTTACAGTCTGGGTGTAAAAAGTATTTTGCATCATTTCTCCCTCCCTAGAAACTGATTTCACCCAAAGGAGAATTTAATCCATTGGGGACTGCTACTAGATGATGTTATCACCATGCCAATTCTCACCTTGGCATGCTAGACATGATTAAAGAGCAGAGCTCCTTATAGCTGGGGAATCCTCCTCTGGCTCTTCAAGCCTTCTGCAGTGTTTTTGCTCAAATGTTGTTGTCAGCTGTTACAAGAGGAGACTTGTTGCATGGTTACATAGTCCCATATACCATGAGATTAACAACTGTGCAGAAACTTGGATGCAGCAGAACTTGCCTAGTTCTGCAGACCAGGAAACTTGCATTTGGTGTGTATGATGCTGCTGTTCAAATAAGCAAAGCTTTCAAACCTGGCAGCAGCAGTGGACAATTCTTCCTTTTCTCCCTATAGTATCTCTCCATGACTGTAAATGCTTTTATAGACCTTGGGATATCCACAGGTACATAAAACATCAAAAACAAGTAGCTGACATGAAAGAGCTCTTTGTTGAAATCCAAGGGATTAATTTATATTCAGTTTCTCTGGTTATTAAATACTGTTTCTGCAAATTAGCTGCTTTTAAAAAAGGAGCTCACGTTAAGCTCCTTTCCACTTGCCCACATAAAAGCTATGCTTGGCCAGATAGAGTTGGGCTGGTAGCTGTCCCAGTTCCAGTTTCACTGAATCCAAATAAAAAGCAACCTGAGAGTGAATCTAATTAAACAGGAGAAGCCTTTGTAGCATTTTATATGCATACATTTACCTTAGCTCTACCAAAGCTGCTGTGGGAATCCTCTGCAGGATGGGAACAGCTCTGCTGTTTATAATATCCTCTGGCAATATAGGCCTGTGGACATGGTGATGGCGAGACATGAGGAAGGAAGGGACAGGAAAGGAAAATATGTGTTAAATGGCACCACTGGAGCAGCTGAAGGTAACGTAATGGCTTTTTGTTAAATCAAGGATTTATTTCTTCATTGTTGCTGCTGTTATCAGAAAACTACTTGGAGCATTGTGCCAGTGCATAGCTAGTAGCCAGATGGGTGTAGAGTTAATTGTTAACACAGTCATTGCTTTACACTGGGCTTTTGTAGGGTTGGGACGAGGAGAATTGCAGCATTTAGGAACCTGGAGAATGCCTTGTTTTGAACATGTTTGTATTCAGGGGTACACATGTTTACCAAATGTATAAGGCATGTAGGCACACTAAAGCTGTTTTATTCACAGGGATTAAAAATGGGAAATCTCTGTGGTGCCAGTATAAAGTGGGTGTCCGCTTAGATTCTGCAAAGAGGTGTGTGTGCTATCTGCTGTAGAGAACAAATGGATATAGACTGGCCATGAAGGCACTTGGGCTGCAAATTAGACCCCTGAGATTCTTGTCAGGAGTCTTCCCAGGTGTTGCCTGGCCAGTCGTCCAAGAGGCTGATCTGCAGCATTGATGCTACCAGATCCAACTTACTTTCTGCACTGCTGCAGTTTCTGAGAGGGACAAATGAATATCTTTAATTTTGCATTGAAACAGGGTTCACCTGACTTCAGTCAAGGGAGAATAAAATCTTGAACTGCTGAAAGTGTATCAGAGGTATTTGGTTGGTCTTTGGTTGTGCACAGAAACCACTGTCCCCAAGCTTCCTAGAACAGTCTCTGTCAGGCAGTGAATTGTAGGTGATGCTGAATAATTCTCCCTGGTGGTGGCAGCTTTTGTGTGTTAGAAACTCCCCTCTCCACCAAGAAAAATGTGTGCATGTGGAATATTCATAGCAAACCCTTACTAATAGAATATTCACAACAGATTCCAAATTTGTTACTCTTTGGGCCTATCCAAAATCAAATTGGATGAAAGTTAGCACAGTTTTCGGTTTGGTCTGATTCAGTGCTAATGCCTGTAGATGCTGGGTCCAGACTGAGTTCCTATCTGGACACATTATTACCACACTCTTCTGTTTCTGGGAGTATGCAAAGGCTTAAATATTCCTTGATTGTTGATCCTTGCAAGCAGACTTGTGTATTCACATACAAGTGGGCAATCTAGGTGTCTAACAGATACTATGCATGTGTAAAATAGGTCTGTGATTTAGATTGGGAAAAGAAAGAGACACACAGGATTTTTGCTGTTGCATTGATTTCCTCTGAAGGAAGCCAGCTGCCTGGCTGGAGTGAGGGAATGCAGGCTTTACAGTGGTTTCACTGGGTTGCAGAGAAAGAGAAAGGTAGAAAACTAGGGAGACCCTGAGGTTCCTCACCTGTTTGTCAGCAGATGGCAGCAGTCAACAGCATAGAGCACTTGGACAGACTGAGCTACACTTTTCTGTAATGAGCATAACTTTCCACTTGGATGGGTTTTGTATTGCAGCCTGCAGAAGCAGCCCATGCAGGAGCTGAAGCAGCTGGATCAGAAGCAGCAGCTGGAGCTGAAGCATCTAAAACTGAAGCTGATTCAGGATCGGTAAGCACCTCAAGGGACAGCAGTCCTTTCTCTCCATCACATCCCTTTGTCATACAGCAAATGTGGGAGGCTGGTCTGGGAAAAAAAGATGTGTGGCTGCTTGGAAAAACATCCCTGCCACCCAGGCGGTTACAGTGTCCTTATTCAGAGGCCAGACCTAGCTGTTGCATTTTATCTGTGTGATGCTTGGGGAGAAGCTCTGCTGGAAGATACGCAAAAAAACCCTGTCCCTTCACCCAATTTGTAAAGCCAGCCCACAGCTTATACTGTGCCATGCTTGTGTTGTGTGGTGAGTTGCTCCTTGCTCACCACTGACTTTACCTACCCTGTCCTCTGGGCTCTGCCTGTGTCCCCTGAATATCCAGGCTTCCTCTTTTTTTTTTTCTGTCACTGCCACCTTTTTAGGGATCTGGAGTAGGTCCCACCTCACGGCCACTTGGTTCCTGTAACCTGTCACATTTGAGTTGTCTGTTCCACGAGTGCTCTACAAGAACTGTCATGACCACAGCAAATAGGAAATGCCAGCAGTATAGTGCCAGAAAAACTCTAAATTCTCTGTCCTTCTGCAGTCCTAAGCAGAGGAAAAGAGCAGTCACCTCTCTGCCTTCTCACTGCTGCCTCTGCTGTCCTTTGGGGTGTTTTTGTCACTGACTGGTGAGCTGGGAAAACCCACTGAAACCATGGGTGGAGTTGGGATGTGGATCCTCCAGGGTGGACTTGAGGCAGCAATTTTGGATTCTTTTTTGTCAATGGCTTTTTTCCTTCCCTGGTTGCTGCTGCCTACCAGAGCTCTCTGCCTGCTGTCGTTGTGGAAACTTTCCCTGCTACTGTCAATGGCACTGTGGAAGGAGGCGCCTCGTCTGAAAGAGCTGACATGCCCCCAGGATTTCTGTTCAAGGTAAGTGCATGGTGGTGGGGCACCGAGTTCCTGGTGATTTTAAATTTCTTTTTAACCTGTAGTGAATTAACTACTTTTTCTCAGCTTGGCTGTGGGCCATCTCTAGTAGTCTTGCAGTCCAGCTGCAAAAAGAATACAGGGCACCATTCATGTGGATGCAGGCTTTCTACCCTGTGAGGTTTTTAAACCCTGTATCATTGGAATTCAACCCACCTAAGGAAGGGTGGAGAGGTGCTGATGCATAGCAACTTCAGACTCACCAGGATGCCCCTGTGGCAAAGGCCAGCTGCATGCCAGGCTGTATGAACAAGCATGTAGCCATTATATTAAGTGAAG